TGAGTAGAAAAGTGTTATTAAACTATTATTTGGGAAGGAAAAAGTCGTTTAACTCTTAATTATAATGACAAGAGGACCAGACAGAGGGGAGATCTTCTAGAATCTCTATCGAGTTTTCTATATGCATGCATGGCCACTATTGTTCAGGATATTATAATGTCCTCCATTAAAATATTTCAAGTTTCTCTGAAACCATATGCATTTGAAATTAATTAAATTAACCACCCTTGAATTATTGAATCCTCCCTCAAATATGGCTCATTCTAACAGGACAATGTATAGAGTTATTAAGATTAGGTTAATTAATATTAATCAAAGGAAGATATGATAATTGAAGTGACACGTCTCATCTTCTATTGACGTCTAAAATGAATAAGTGTTTCACAACTACTCATGGGGGATTTACAATACTCAAAAAATTTTGCAGGGTTTTCGTGTATATTATTTCCTATCAAAATCAACCCAATAGCAACCCACTTCACAAAATTCCCAACAACTTTCTCCTACAAACTTTCTCGTAATGTCCACTATATATATATCGCCATTCTTGTCATCTCTCTCATTCAATACTCAGTTCGAGCTTTGGTTGATTATCAGCTCAAACAAAATTAATATTTCTCTCCCTTTTCACCAACTGTCATGGAAACCCTACATCTCCTTTTGAGCTTAGCGGCTCTGGTTTCAGCTTACGCTTGCTGGTTCTATCTCTTATCTCGTAAACTTTCAGGCCCGAAACTATATCCTCTTGTGGGTAGCCTTCCGGTTCTGTTCAAGAACCGGCGGCGAATACACGATTGGATTGCTGGTAATCTTCGAGCCACAGGTGGTTCAGCTACTTACCAAACTTGTACTATTGCTCTTCCTTACTTTGCTAGTAAACAAGGGTTTTATACAGTCACGTGTCACCCTAAAAACATTGAACATATTCTTCGGACAAGGTTCGATAACTACCCCAAAGGTCCCACGTGGCAGAAAGCTTTTCATGATTTGTTAGGGCAAGGGATTTTCAACAGTGATGGTGAAACATGGCTTATTCAACGCAAAACTGCTGCTCTTGAGTTCACAACAAGAACGTTAAGGCAAGCCATGGCTCGGTGGGTGAATCGGACGATTAAGAATCGTTTGTGGAAGATTTTAGATCAAGCGGCGGAGAATAATCTCTCGGTGGACTTGCAAGATTTGTTGCTTCGTTTAACGTTTGATAATATTTGTGGTCTCACGTTTGGTAAAGACCCCGAGACTCTCTCGCCGGAGTTACCTGAAAATCCATTTTCTATAGCTTTTGATACAGCCACTGAAGCCACTCTTCAACGGCTTTTGTACCCTGGATTTCTATGGAGATTGGAGAAAATGTTTGGTTTCGGAGCTGAAAAAAGTTTGAAAAAGAGCCTTCAAGTTGTTGAAGATTACATGAACGGTGCTATAGAAGCCCGTAAAGAGAGTCCATCCGATGATTTATTGTCAAGATTCATGAAGAAAAGAGACGTTGATGGTAACCTCTTCCCAAGCTCTGTTCTTCAACGCATAGCTCTAAACTTCGTTCTCGCCGGCCGTGACACGTCATCAGTTGCACTCAGCTGGTTCTTCTGGCTCGTCATGAACCACCCCCACGTTGAACAGAAGATCATCGACGAAATATCAAAGGTTCTTAAGGAAACACGTGGCAATGACATCAAGAAATGGCTGGACGAGCCTCTAGTCTTTGATGAAGCTGATAAATTAATGTATCTCAAAGCAGCATTAGCCGAAACGCTGCGTTTATACCCATCAGTTCCGGAGGATTTCAAGTACGTAGTCTCTGACGACGTCTTGCCAGATGGCACGCGCGTCCCAGCCGGTTCAACGGTGACGTATTCGATATACTCAATGGGGAGAATGAAGACGATATGGGGAGACGATTGCACGGAGTTTAGACCGGAACGGTGGCTATCGGCTGAAGGGGACCGGTTCGAACCGCCAAAAGACGGGTACAAATTTGTGGCGTTTAATGCGGGACCGAGAACTTGTTTGGGGAAGGACCTAGCTTACTTGCAAATGAAATCAGCAGCTTCGGCGGTGCTGTTGCGCTACCGGCTGTCCCTGGCTCCCGGCCACCGTGTGGAGCAAAAGATGTCTCTCACTTTGTTCATGAAGAATGGACTTCGTGTACACTTGCATCCTCGTGCACTTGTTGCTGAATAGAAGGTGGCCGCCGGGGAAAGGGGAAGTGTTTTCACTTGTTTGCCGAAAAGGAACAGGGGCAGTATGGTCATTCAAATTGTTTTAATTTTGTATTTGTATTTTAAATATGTAATTTGTTTGTTATTGTGTCGTTGAATTTGAGTACAATACAGTTGGTTTGCTGGTCTAAATTGGAGGGGTATATTTGGAAAGAGTCTAATAGTGTGTCTTTGTAATGTTGATAAACACTTTCATATCAGTTGATATGGGTTTTCAATTATATGCTTCCTCTTTAAATCATATACTTTTATGAATAAAACACAATTAAGTTATACTCTTATTTACTTAAATCTTCTGTGTATTCTTAAATTTTTCTCCGTCCCCTAAAACTCTGAGGTTAACAACTAAGCAAGCCTTCAGTGATCACCCCTATTAGGGGATTAAGGTGGATCGAGTTCAACTAATCCCGTAGGGTCTTGACGTTAACGATCGGACAAGACTCTAGTGATCACCTCTATTAGCAGAGGAGACGGATCGAACTTAAGAATCTTAATTGATAGCTCGACCACCCAGTGGTACTTCTAACTATGGTTGGTTGGAGTGCGATTTCTTATCTAATGTGTTCAAATTTCTTATCTAATATTCAATACTTTAATATTCTACACATTTTTTCAACGCCTATGTTGAATTTGAAGAGTTCACATGATTTGAAGCTCAAGGTATATATAACTCATTTCTACCATATGCACTATAGCATTATAAGATTGTAGATTGATTGGCTAATGTAAACTCCTTTTTTCAATGGTGAGTTTACTTACTTTTTCAATGGTGGGGAGATGAACGAACACCTTTTGGATTTATATATTGCATAGTCGTACTCGTACACTTCTTCATAATCATTGGGCTCCTTTGAGAATAGTCGTCTTCTCGCGGTTGTTTTTCTTTTTATAATATTTCTTTCTATTTTTGTCAAAAACTATTCTTTTGAACCAATTAACCAAAAACTTGTAGTAGTTGAATTTGTTTCATCATAACCATCTTGGTGAACTATTATGGTGGTGTATATATATAGTTAGTCCCCCTCTTCCCTTAAACTAGTTTTTGGGTCTAAATTTCACCCAAGCCTGTTTATTAGACCCATTTGAAAAAAAAAACATTAAAAAAAAGGATCGGATTTTGAGAAGCTTTTTAGAATAGCATTTTTAAAAAATAGGATAGGATTCTAAAAGGTTTTTTTTTTTGTACATTTTTTAATAATATTTTTTAAAAATATTTAGATTACTTTAACCCCTTAGATTTATTAATTTAACTAAACATCTTCAATAATAAAAGTTTATAAATTGACAAAAATACCTTTACTCACCCACATATTACCGATAGCCGGTTACTATCGTCAAAAAGTGGCCGAAATTTGTTGAAATAGTGCACAACCGATTGGATATGATAAATTGTGCCTCTATCTAGCCAAAAAAGGCCAGATCTACAGCTACAGATTTGATCGTTGACGGCCAAACAATGGCCAAGATATCTAGCCACCAACTATGACCAAAATATGATTGTCATTAGACGTAGCAAAAAGTTACCCGTACCCGTAGGTCAATGGGTATCCACATCAAACGGGTGAGTACTGGTACCCCTAAAATTTACCCGTACCCAGCCCACCTGTGAAAAATGCGGGTGGACCGGGTAATGCCCGCAGGTACCCACATTTTATTTAAAAAAATAATTAAAAAATTAAAACCCTAAAGCCATTTTCCCAATCTCTCTCATACACAGACCGATGCCACATTTCTTTCAATCTCTTCTCCCAACCAGACAAAGAAGAATTGGAAGGGTGAAGACTGAAGAAGAAGAAATATGAAAAAAGTGGAGAGGGAGAAAAGACGAAGAAGAATTGGAGAGAGGGAGAAGAAGACGACGAACCGAAAAGAAGAAAAAATATGAAAAAGTGGAGAGGGAGAAAAAGGACGAAATATGAAAAAGTGGAGAGGGAGAAGAAGGCGACGAACCGAAAAGAAGAAAAAATATGATAAAATGGAGAGGGAGAAAAAGACTAAGAAGAATTGGAGAGAGGGAGAAGACGACGACAAACTGAAGAAGAAAAATATGTAAAAGTGGGGAGGGAGAAAAAGACAAGAAGAATCGGAGAGAGAAGGAAGAGAGGACGAAGATGAAAGAGAAATAAATGGGAGAAAAAACTTAAAAATAAAAAATTGGATAGGAAAAAATTTAAAAAGTAAAATAAACGGGTGACCCGTGAGTACCCGTACGAGCAGGTACAGAACATACATTTGTCCCCCCTGGTTGCTAAGTCTAGTTGTCATCAACGGTCAGATGTGATCGAAAATGGATAGATCGACGTATTACTAGTTATATCCAGTCGATCGTACACCATTATAGTATCGGTGATGACATTGACAGTGGTTGGCGATGACAATGGCTGCTGACAGGTGATAGTGGCTTGGGTGAGTGAAAATTTTTTTGTTAATTTTAAAAATTTTACTGAAAAAAATAATTGTTAATGATTTGAGTTGAATAGAATATGATTGGATTTTAAAAATATTAAAACAAATTCATTTTTGGATTTTTAGGATATGATAGAATAATGGGAAAGTAGGTGTCAAACGAACCCATGATACTCAAGCCCGTTTATCATAATCCACTTGGAAAAATACATTAAAAAAAAAAAAAAAAATTATGACGTGTTTGCTACACAATACAAAAAATTGAGGCGTTGAGATTGAATAACATTTACAGCTGTGTCGAGGCTACTTTACAAATCTGGCATTGTACATCATTCAAATGGCAGGCAACTTGATTTTTTTGCATGGAACTAAATGCATTTATTCGCCACTTTTCCTTCTCTAGTTGCGAGCTCTATGCTTGGCCTGTAGAAAATTTTGCCATCTTGAAGATCAAGATTGTTCATAGAAAATTCTTGCATTTTTTCTCAAATGAATTTGACTTTGTTTAAATCTTTCGTTACGTATAGAATCGGTTGATCTTTTGCTATAAGAGCTCAACCTTGTGAACCGTTTTAAGCTGCCACTTGCTGAAGATAAAAATTCTCAAAGGGTTAATCCAATATTTTCTCGCCCGTTGAGAAAAGATTCCATACAACAGTTCCAACCAGGTAGAGTCCAACTGAAACCTTAAAAACATCATCCCAAGAACCTGAAAAGTTCATATGTGAAAATTATGGAAGGAAATTTGCAGGAATTAGAGAGGAAACAACTTGCTTAAAGCATAGAGCATACACAAGACCATTGGGGCAAAACTAAGGCTGATGATATTCAATATGAACGAGAGAACCACAGATCATTCATCTGACATTTTTCAGGTGATCTTATTAGAATGTTGAATAGAATCAATCACATTCTTATTGGTTCTTCTCTTGTCTTTAAGCATGTTGACATACAAATTACTGGAAGCTTAAAGTGCGAGGATGAGTACTCACCGTGTTGCAAGATGTAGCCGGTTGCTGCAGTTCCAAAAACCCCAGCTAGAACTCCTGCTGTATTAGATAGACCAAGCAGTACCCCCTGAAGAGATAAAGCCAAAGAGAAAGTAGAATTTATTAGTTTTTCTCTGGAGAACCGAAGTTACCAGTACAATAGACAGCTACATGGCGGCATCTAAAATTCAAAAATCATAAGATAAGGACCTCAATAGGTAAGGAAGCTATGTAGATAGAAACTAGAATATTTGTGGCACTAATCTAATACCAGAAATGAGCAATTCCATAATACAAAGTTTATGGCTTTTAAAAATGAATAATGTAAAAAATACTCACAGAATAACGAGGGGCAATATCCTGATGGTTNTTAAAGCATAGAGCATACACAAGACCATTGGGGCAAAACTAAGGCTGAAGATATTCAATATGAACGAGAGAACCACAGATCATTCATCTGACATTTTTCAGGTGATCTTATTAGAATGTTGAATAGAATCAATCACGTTCTTATTGGTTCTTCTCTTGTCTTTAAGCATGTTGACATACAAATTACTGGAAGCTTAAAGTGCGAGGATGAGTACTCACCGTGTTGCAAGATGTAGCCGGTTGCTGCAGTTCCAAAAACCCCAGCTAGAACTCCTGCTGTATTAGATAGACCAAGCAGTACCCCCTGAAGAGATAAAGCCAAAGAGAAAGTAGAATTTATTAGTTTTTCTCTGGAGAACCGAAGTTAGCAGTACAATAGACAGCTACATGGCGGCATCTAAAATTCAAAAATCATAAGATAAGGACCTCAATAGGTAAGGAAGCTATGTAGATAGAAACTAGAATATTTGTGGCACTAATCTAATACCAGAAATGAGCAATTCCATAATACAAAGTTTATGGCTTTTAAAAATGAATAATGTAAAAAATACTCACAGAATAACGAGGGGCAATATCCTGATGGTTTGAATATAGACCAGATTGTGAGAATGCATCAGTTCCCTATTCAAGAAGAAATTGAAATTAGTTAAATGAATCATTATTATTGATAAAAACAAATACAAAATAGAAAGTTCACAAACAATATTTTCCAGTTAATTTTGGATTACTCAACTCTAAATAGTTGACAAATTGCACAAATGGAAACAAATTTAAACATCAAGAAGAAGCATATGAAAGATTAAATTAGGGTAAAAACTTATATGTAAGTATGATGCGTTTCCATTCATAACATTACATGTTTGAAACTTCAATTAGGAAAATACTGTTTCTCCTTCAGTAAGATTTGGTTATAGGAAATGGCTTGTAACCATAAAGGAAAATAACTCTAGACTTGGCAGAAGATACAAGGTAGTCTGTCCAGGGAGGAAGAGAGAAAATAAAATTGAAATACATAGAACAGTCCATAGACTAATAAACAATGTCAAGCGCAGGAAAATTATACAATTATATAGCAACACATTTCCTGCAAATACCAGTAATTTCTACAAAACCGTTTAGGTTCAATTTGTTGTGTCCATCATGAAGAGCAAATAGTTTTTCCAAAATTAAATCTTGATCAGCTTAATCAAGCTACAAATACATATAGTACTCAGTTTCAGTGAGTAGATGAAGCAAACCTGACTGCATGCCATGCACAAAACAGCCATTGCAGGAGAATCAACATGGCTCAACTGAGTTAAGAAGAAAGCAGGGCCAAGAAATCCAATGGTTTGCATTATCTACAAAAGAGAATATAAAGAATAATATATTAGCGACTGCAGACAGAGTGATCATTTGAACAGTGTGCAGGCCCACAAAGGATAGAGACTGTGTGTGAGTAAGATTAGAACATCAATGATATTAGTAGGTCTTGGAGAGTTCTGTTGGTGAAGTTTTGAATTCAAGTACCCATTAAATAACTTCAAGCAACAATGGGCTAACCCCATAACTGTTGAAAAATTATACATAATAATCAGGAAAAAATTGTCGGGTAGATTAAGCAGATTTGACAAAAAATAAACTATAGAAATTTCCTGCATTTATACAAATAAGAAAACTCGGGATACCTTGCGAACCGTGGTCACGGATAAACCCTTGCTGACAAGTGTATCTGCGATCCACCCTCCAAGATTTGCAGAAAATGCCATTGTAAGCCAGGGCAAAACACAAATAAGCCCAGATTCTGTGAGATTGAACTTCAAGACCTATTGTGGCATAACAAGAAAAAGTTGCTTCCATTAGTATTATAAAGACAAGCAGCAACATTCTTCCAAAAGATATCAAGGAGATTAAACTATACAAAATTTGTAGCTCAATGAAGCAGATTTTCAATGTTATGCACACTTCTAGGTTCCAAACTCCTTTCTACAACTTTAATTTACCTGGAATATGAAAATCCAATATTGGTGGTTCCCTAAGGTCTCATAGACTGTTCCATATAAACAACTTCAAAGATTCTACACATCCAGCAACTGATTCTAACTATGCATGGTTTCAAAAATAATATGAACAGCCAAAAGAAAAACTTACTTGGTTATAGTATGTCGGCATCCATGTCAGTAGAATAAATGTTCCCCAGTTGTGACAGAAGTGAGACACTATAAGGGCCCATACAGGTGGTTTTGACAAGATTAATCCCCAAGGTATTGTTTTAACAGGTTCCTTGGAAACACTGTTCATCATAATTAGCTTTTTTTCTTCTGGACGCAGCTGAGGATCTTCAAGAGGTGAACTGTATGCCTACATCAACAAAGGACATAAGAAGTAAAATACAGCCAAATAATTTAGAATAGTGAATCCTAATATCAGAAGATACTACTAGACAGGCAATTGAATTTTTTTAATGGAAAAAATCAAACTTACAGTCAGTCATATTCAATAAATTTCAAGTTTCATATTAAAGATATCACAGTTCAAGAAACTTCAAGATTTTTGTAGCAAAACACAAAACAAAAAGAAAACATGTTGATCAAAAGTCGTTCAATGATTGAATTGAAAGTTACCTTACTTAGCCACACAGTAAACCAAACTGTCCCCAAAGAACCAAAGGAGTAAAAGACCGATGGCCATCCAAATTGATGTATTAGAAAAGGTGAAAAGGCCAAGCCAGTAACCGATCCAAGGTACATCCCACTGTACACCAGAGCTAATGATCTACTTCTCTCTGCTACAGGAACCCATTTGGACAGAATATTATTCATGGCAGGCATAGCAACACCCTGGAATTAACAACCAAACTAACTAAGCCCACATCCAAAGAGAAAAAAAACACCGGTCTAATTTAACTTTCAACCCATAAGACAAATCTCATCCCAAAATAATATCGCATGTCCACATTATGAAGTCCTATACAAAGACATAGTTATCTCCCTTTTCTAACCATTTTAAAAGAATTTCACTACATATTAAAGTTGGGTAATGAAGAACCAACCTCACCGATCCCCATGAAAGCACGAACAACAAGTAGGAATGGCAGGCCTAATTTAGCAGCGACGGGAGTAAGAGCTGTAGCAATGGACCACCAAACTACACCAAATCCAAGAACCAGCTTCCCACCTACAGTATCCGCCCATATGCCACCAGCAACCTGTCACTGACAATAATAAGCTAGCAATAAACGCAGAACGCTTTCATAACATTATAAACAGAGAGCTCTATCCAAAACATGTAACATACGCATGAAAAGAGGAATCACCTGCGTAAGGAGGTAACCCCAGAAGAACGAAGACTGTATCAAACCAACTGTTGCCGGGTTCCAATTGTACTCAGCTGACATCGGAAGTATAGCAATACTCATATTTACCTGCCAAATAATTAACATTCATTTTTGAAATAACTAGCAACTTAACTATTAATTAAACCAAACGATTGAATTAACAAAAATTAAACGGCACCGTTTCGTCAAAGATGTTAAGCTTACTCTATCCATATTGCAAAGCAAGAAAGCCGAAAAACACAAAACCACGATAACCCAACGTTTTGGGAACTGTTCCCACCACGGAACGGAACTCTCCAAATCCTCGCTTCTTACTACGACATCGTCTAATGCCTCATCAAACTTCACCGACTCCGGCAACGAATCCGATATATTAAACGACTCGGATTCCACATCCCGAACCGAAACCCGAAACGAACAACTCCTTCCTCCGGAGAGAAGCCGGACACGAAGTTGAAGCTGAAGCGGGCCTCCCGACTTAACTCCAGGCCGGAACACTCTACTTCGGGCCGATATATCGGGCGGAGCGCGGAAATTCGGGGAGTAGAACAGAGTCTTGGCGCTCATGGCGTGAGAGAGTGAAACTGCTCACCACCTGTCGAATAAAGATCTATAAGGGATTTTGAAGAGATTTTTCAGAGAGAAATGGAGGGATATTTATGTGCATTGGTTGTAGTTTCGACACGTGGCACGTAAATGGGGAGGATTAAATAGGGAAAGAATTAACAGAAAACGAATTCAATTTGGCGGGTTCTTGTTATTATTTTATGATTTATCCGGTTTTCATAGGCATTAAGGGCTGGGCTTCTTGAGCTTTTCTGGGATGGGCTTAAATTAGGCCCATTGAACAGTTACGATTTTGGGCCTGTAGCCCAATTCAATCATATTTGGGGTAGCCGTCAGTAATTCAAGGGCTTATTGTTCTAAGTTTGCAGTACTTGGATGAACAACTATGAAGTGTGGGCTATAATTTAGTTGTTTTTAATTTAAAAATCTATGTATTTTTATTCAAAATTGAATCATCCAAAAGTAAATTTGAGTTTTCAAGATGATTTATATACCAATCTTTGTATATGTGGAAAAAAAAAAAAAAAAAAAACATTGTACAACGAAGACACGTATATCCAATCAATGTGTGTGTTACAATGAGAAATTCATCTGTAAGTAGTTCAAATGGTTAAAGCGAATTAGAGATAACGTGGATAGGTATACGGTCTCAAGTTCGATTCCCCATCTGAGCATCCGCGATTTAAGTGGAGGGTTATGACAATGGCTTGCTGCACGTAAGCTAGCCCAAATACTCTGTATCCAACCAATGTGTGTGTTACAGTGAGAAACTCATCTGTGAATAGCTCAAATAGTTAAAGTGAATTAGGGATAATGTGGATAGGTGTACGGTCTCAAGTTCAATTCCCCATCTGAGCATCCGCGATTTAAGTAGAGGGTTATGACGATGGTTTGCTGCACATAAACTGGTCCAAACACCTTATTTAAAAAAAAAAAAAATGGTATAATAAGAAATGACGATTGTAATTAAGATGATCAAAATTGATTAACAAGATTCATGGATAAAATGTGAAATTAGTCTCTTAAACATGATTTTGTACTTTGCTTTATGCTTAAGAAACCAAAGCACACGAGTCTCCAAGACAATTCAAACAAAACAAAAAAAAAAAGAGAGAGAGAGAGATAATTCTGATAAAGGAGAAAGTTCAGTCAACTACAAGAGCAAAATACACTCATCTCATGACACCAAAAATGAGAATGCTCAAAGCTTTACCCGATCCCACCACAATCAAATACACTCTCGACAAAACTTTACAGGATCTTTTTTCATGTCTCTCCATCAAAAGAAGCCATTTTAACCCTTCAAACGAATAGATCCAGAAGCTCATCAATGTGGGTCAGCCAAGCCATTAAATATTAAACTAACACAACACAAGCCAGAGCTCTTGTGTTGTGTGTATTTATTAGACACTCTTATAATGTCAAGTTTCTTTACCGATAGAATTTGAGGTGAGTTTGACTCTTCACCTAATAAGGCTTTGTTAAATGAGAGAATTACCTTCTCTTATAGACCAGTAGGCTTGAACTTGCTTAGTCAGTGTGGAAGGTCAAGCCCATATATCGGATCATGCCTATTAATGAAGATAGTTGTTGGCTCATACTCCTCACTTGTTGATCAAATACTCAACCCAACTGAACCCGAGCTCTGATACCATAATAGAATTTGAGGTGGGTCTGACTTTTCACCCAATAAAGTCTTGTTGAATAGGAGGATTACCCCTTCTTATAAACTAATAGGCTTGAGCGTGCCTAATCGGTGTAGGACTCCAACATTTACCAAGTACAGCAATAATTACAGAGATGAAAGAAGCCATGAATAAATGTTAGTTGGTCCATAGATTTATAATTTTCCAGGTACATAATTATGGATGGAAGACTTTAGAGTGGGGCTGGGCATGTACCCTTAAAGTTAGCTTTGCATAATTCAAATCAAAGCTCATATACTAGTCTTCACTGGTGATCAAACTTATTCATTAAGGCAGCTACTAATTGCAGCTGGGCCAAAGGGGTAGGCTGCATATGCCATGGCTATGCTATAAGAAATTAATGTTATTATGCTTGTAAAACCATGCGATACTCGATGGTTTAGTTAGAGAAAGATGGATCAATGGAATATATTGTGTTACGATTTACGAGTGATTCAACATACCACAGGAAATAATTAAAAGAGAAGGGTCTCGCCCAGGTGGCTCCTGGAAGATAACCAAGAGATTCATATGGAAGATGACGTTATACTCCATATGAATCATACTACTAGAACTTGATCGGAGAGTTCATAGAAAGAGCAAACCTTAAGATAAAAGTGTGACAATCAAGTAGTTGGCATGAGTTTTAATTGTATAGTAATGCTGAGATTTGATGTGATTTGATAGATAGAATGTGTGATAGGATAAGATATGATGGTTGAATTGAAGATTCTTGCCTCTCAGACAATTAGAAGAGCTAGCGTGCAATAGACAAATGACAAAATCTTAAGGCTGTTGTCATTCATGCCGGTGTCACTATGGGAGTAGGTTGTTTCATCGGTAAATCTTAAGGTGATAGTGTCACTGGTATCCCGTGTCATTCTATGGGAGGATTCTAATAATGTAATAGTAATATAGTATATAAATTGATCTCTCATCTTAATAGGGAGAGCTTTTTAACCCTTTTTCTACTATTCAAAATCGTCTCATTTATGTTAAAGAATTAAGCTCGTTTGTACGTGAAAAATACATAAAAAAACAATAAATAACACTGGACATAAGATTTATGTCTTGCATTTGGACTATTTTAAAAAAAAAAAAAATTATTCTTTGTATTTACTTATTATTTTCATATTAATCCAATATTAAAACACTGGATCGTTGGTGTAAAAACCGCATCAAAAACTTTGTATTTTTTTTTTTTTTTAATGGAATTTAGGTATATTAGAAAGTTGTGAAAATGAAGTCAAATCCAAAGTGATCTTTGTAAAATGTATAATGGAATGCATTCAATCGACCAAATCTCGAATTCAACTATAGTTTCAGATGAATTTGAATCAATCTTCTAAGTTATAGATACACTTGAATTCCTTAGAATCATTAAAATAAATCAATTTGGAACGAAGAGAAAATTACACTGAATCACTTTCATCCCACTATAATATTACAAAGCTAAAGTACTCGAACATTATTCCCCAAACAAAATATATCGCCAAGAAAGATGCATGCTTAGGGCCCCAAGTTGGAGAAATAAATGGAAATATGCCCACATGATAACCCAGAGAATTATTATTAGCATACAAAAAATAAGCCACGTAGCATTCTGTATGGCCATTATAATGGCCACCGTATTCATCTCCAGCTGCTGATGTTTTTATTAAAATAGGGCAATGGCCAACCACCAACCCTGGAAAGTTGGCTGCGTAATCTTCATTGAAATAGTGGTAAACTGAATGGTGTCGGCAGCTTTTTTTAAACCGTGTTGGTAGGGGAAAAGCATAAAGAGATAACAGAGTAAAGCTCTAAAAGACGTTTGAAAGAGAAGCTTTCTTTAGCTTTAGCTTATTCTTTTTTACTTATTCGAAACAAAGATTTGGTCAAAGTCAAATACACTAATTAATTTTTTGATTAATCTGATGTTTAATGTTTTATGAAATGAAAGTAAGGAATGATTAAGTATAGGTTTAATGGTTTCTCGATCTTTTCTTAGTTCTCACTTCATGGAAAAACTAGCCAGACCAATTGTATGAAAGAATAATGCTCTTAGTTTATTCTTGTGATGATCACGAGATAATTAATTTGATTAAGATTATGGCTTTTTCTTTCTAAGAATCTATTGATCATACATTGGGGTCATATAAAGGCTACATTTAATCATCATTCAACAGTAATGTTTTTCTTTTAATTAACAACTAGTCTGTTCAAATTAAGTATACTCATCGGAGTCACTTGACCCCACTGAAATTCTGAAATTATTATAAATAGGTACAATATATTTTATAGTAATTAACAATATTGATCCCACTAAAATTACTTATATTTTATTGACTCTACTAAGACATTTTCTATATTTTATTGATCCTGAGATTCGAAAATACCCAGTTTTTTTTTTTTTTCTCATTTTCTCTCTTCTTCTCTCATATTTTCTTCTTCATTTGATTGGATTAACTAAGATAGAAAATTATCCATATTTGGTTGCGATGTTTTCAGAATATGAAAAATTATCGAGGAGAATTATTGTAAAGTTATCAACTTAAATGTTTTGACCACGCTAACTAGAAATCTTGACTACGCCCTTGATTGTTCATATAACATTTTCTTAATTGACTATATAGGTTTTGTAGATGTTGGATTGGGTCGTAAAATCCTATAATATGAACACGAATTAGGTTAGAAATCTCATCCTATTAATTTGACGAAAAGGGGTTAATTCACCTAACCAGACTGACCTACTTCAATTAGTTAATGCTTTCCCAAACACAAGCGCTTCTACTTCTTTACCTCATATTTCAAGACAAAATTAAACTAGTATTGATCATCAAGTTCTATCGTACAGATTAATCAACGGGAAACACGGAGGGATCATCAGAATTTGTATCGGCCAGAGAGAAGATCATGCTGCCGGCCCTACTCAAAAAGCAATCACAGTTCTCTTCCAATATCATGTGGCCCACATTTAAATACATTGAAAGCAGCTTGTTGGCATCCAAGAGGGTGACAGTTGATCATATACAGTATTTTGATAATTGGCTTTATCTGGTGAATGGTTAGGGTTTCTGAATCTTCACCTTGAAAAGGACTCACTATCTACCTCTGATTTTACTTGTTTGTGATCGTGATCAACTTGCCTCGTATTACCCTTTTATAATTAAGGTTACTAATTGTTGATGTAAAGATTTGTAACAATTAGACAATGTTTTAAAACCCAACCCGGGGTGAAACCGGGCAAAGTTGCTAGGTCCCGACTTGACCGATTTGACCATAAATTTTAAAATTCAGCAAATATACCCCTAAAAATTGCCGTTACATCCCTATATGTTTGAAATTTAGCAAACACACTCCAAATACAAATCAGCCAACGACTAATTGGCTGGAGCGACATCCCAGATGCAACCCTAATTGTCCCTTGAGCCAATTCCCCTTAAAATATACCTAAGATATGACCGAAATAGGTTCGATTTCAGTCAAATCTCACCAACGCCAGCGTCGGCATTCTAGGCCAGATCTCATCGACGTCGGCGTCGACAACCCTCCTCATCACCCAGAAATTACTCCCTTCTTCCTTCCGATGAAAACCCACCTCACCCCACCCCCGTTAGCCTCACCAATCGCCGACAAAAGCTGGTTGTTTCCACTGCCAGTTTTTTTCGATTTCCAATCGATTTACTCACTGAAAATCAACGTTGTCACTTGTCACCACCATTGCATTCACTAGCAGTTTCTCTTCAAAAGCCCCAACATCCCGGCCGGCAATTGTTCGCTGATCATCCTCCCAAATCTTAGGGTTTTGGGTGAATAGGAAAAAAATAAACCCGGCTCGTTGAAGCTTCTGGGTCCCAGTTCAATCGATTAAACCGACTGGGCTAGGCCGAATTTTAAAACAATGCAATTAGAGGTACGTGATTAACAACGTTAGAACCACGTAAGATGAGTGTGTGATCCCGGTGGATCAACAATGAAACAAGATGATGATGAATATGCGAGGATTAACCTAGAAAATAAAGAACAATAAAGGACTTTTTAGAGTGATTCAGTTGCGCGTAATGCAAGATCTACGTCCACTTATATGTTACTGAATATATCGAAACAATAGTTCGATTTACAAAGAGTTAGTAGTTTGCTCTCTGCAGCTTGTCTTTGCATGATCATCGATCTTGATTATGTGATCTATATCGTGAGATATTTGCATGTCAACTAGAGATTTATCCGCTCTGAATTTCCTGCATAACAGTAATTATCTAGGTTAATTTCTAATCAATTTCCAGAGGTTTCTAGATTGATTATCATTATGATTCTTATTCCAAAAATCATTTTAAAAATTTAACTAAAATTGAATAATCTATTAAGATTTTCCAGCATGATTCAACGTGATAAACTCCAGAATTTATTATGCCATTCACATTTATATTAACTTAACTGCTTTGTTTGCTTCAAATTAAAGCCCTTTTTCAAGTAACAATGTTGATTAGATTAGTTCCTTTAAAAATTCGTAAAAACAGCCAACGATCAACCACTTACAGTATAAATATATATTCCAGAAACTAATTAACGTTTTACTTATTCAAAAAGAATCAGTCAGTGTTAAGTAAACAAATATATTAAAGGCAACGTGGAAGTGCACTGATAGATGGGCAGAATTCGCCAACGCCAAGAACATTACTGAACACAAAAAAGTTAAAAGATTAGAAAGTTTGTCGTCAAAGTGGGCATTAGAAGCCATGTTAGTGAGCACCAGAACTGAGTTTAATGCTCGAATTTTTAGCAAATTTCACAGCCTTACAAGACGGAGGAGATTTGTGTTCTCTGATGATGAGTTGACATGTAAAAACAAATGAAAACCGACAATAACGTGGATGTGCGCATAAAGAAGATAGACAAAGTCATGTGTTATATGATCTGAAATTGTGGTCGTCTGTGTTAATTCAATGAAACAAAACAAAGGGTTTTTTTTTCTGAAATGGGCACAAGTTTCAGGCATTGGATTCCCCTTGAGAGATGGAGAGAAATGGCCATACGTGGTGTGCGTTAGAATATTCAATAAATTTATAAACCACGTTCGTTCATGTCAGAAATGAAGTACTGGCCAACTGGGTATGAATTTCAGAAGATTGAACATGTGACATTCATATTTCAATTCCTTCACAGAATCATCAAACATTTAATTACTTCCATCAATTTATTAGTTTTCTCTGTTGCCTGACTGTCAATGTTGACAAATTGAAAGATATCTTTGATTGTTTTTAATTAGTTCAAGTTATCATGCTTTTGCTGTATTATTCTCAGCTAAACGATGACTAACTTGATTATCATTTCTCATTTTTTCTCTCCTTTAATTGCGGTTAAGTATGGTGACTGTAGTTAATGCTGCTGATAATTAATTTCAATTGTTGTAATTAGCTAGTTGCTACATTAAGTACACTATTATAGCAAGTGGCCATGTTGTGAAGACAAATATTTACAACCAAATATTAATACTATCTCAATTATACCAATAATTGAATTAAGTCTATCTAAAAAGGAGTTTAATTAACAGGCAATAAGTGCAATAACCAAGGGTGTTTGGGCCAACTTGGCGTACCTCGACTAATCTCTGGGACCTTGAAGTTAACAATCGGGTAAACCCTCTGATGGCTACTCCTATTAACAACTAAAGAAAATCGAATTTATGATCTCTTCAGTAATACATTCAAAAGTTTTTATCTCTCACCTGATCACCCAAAGATGGTTATAAGCTTAGGCTTTCTATTTCCTGAATCTACCCTCTTCTTTTGGTTATGAAGTAGACCCGTAATTGAATATGGATTGCCTCAAAAGGCAATAAACCATCGCTGATTGCACTGAAAGCCTGAAAGGATAAGGGTTACTTACTGTGAAGAAAAGGATGGTAAATGACTAATGAGGGTGATAAACGACATGTCGTCGTTTAGTGCAGAACATGAAAATATTTATAGTTACTTTCGGTTAAAGTCTTAAAGGCTACACAAACTGACACCCTAGTAAAAACAACGATGGCTAGATATGTTCTAACTTTTTTGATCTTCTTTTTCGGCGAATCCATCAATGATGTATTTCTTCAACTAAACTGAACTAAGGTCTAAGCATATATGTACAGTATACTGTAACTCTCGTATAAATTTAACCTCAGTTTACACACACGCTCACAATCACAGACAGAGAGATGCCAATGAAGTTGCGTTACACCTACTCTTTACTTTATTCTTCTAAAGCCCCCACACTACGTCAGCTCCCTTTACAAAGTTTCCTTCCCTTTCTTTTCCCTATCCCTTTTCTCTCTTCTTCCATTATTCACCCTCACCAATTCACCATTTCTCTCTCTTTTGCCATGACGCATTGATGCTCTGAACCAGAGCTCAAGTTCTCATACAGCAATGGCGGAAAGACGTAATATTGGATCATTCTTCACCAAGTTCCTCTCTCTTTTCCTTCTTCTTCTCCACTTGGGTTGCTTCATTTTCACCTCCAACACTACTCACCCACCCGGTACCAAGAAACGAAAAGGATCAAAAGCTGCTCCTACCTCATTATCTCCTTCTCCATCTCGCCTTAAATCCCACAAAGCTCTCTATTCTTCTTTGTCCTACATTAAACGTATCTTCTCTTCTAACAAAAACACCCCACAAACTCGCCCACCATCACCGGCTTTAACCTCGGCAAGATCATCTCAGCATTCTCTTGCCTCCATGATCCCACCTGAGCATCATCAAACTCAAACTTCAGACTTGCCTCCACATGTCAAGCCAACTACTCTTTCAGGCTCAGAATCCGACATCTCGGTTGATCAAACATTTTTCCCTCTACGTAACGATATCTTTCCATGCACAACTTGCGGCGAGATTTTTCAGAAACCCCATCTCCTTGAACAACACCAAGCTATCAAACACGCTGTTTCGGAGCTCATTGATGGTGATTCAGGTAAGAATATCGTTGACATCATATTCAAAACGGGTTGGTCCAACAAAGATAAGAACCCGGCAATAATTCGAATCTTGAAGATCCATAACAGCCCAAAGATTCTCTCAAGATTTGAAGAGTACAGAGAGTTTGTCAAAGCCAAAGTCGCACGAAACGGCGCCGTCAGGAGGCGAGACGAGCGGTGCATAGCTGATGGTAACGAGCTGTTAAGATTTTACTGCTCGACGTTTCTTTGTGATTTGGGACTGAACGGGAATTCCAGCATTTGTAACCAGCAGTATTGCAGTGTCTGTGGGATAATAAAGTCCGGATTCTCGCCCAAGCTGGACGGAATTTCAACACTATCTACTAGCTGGAGAGCCCACGTGGCGATCCCCGAAGAGATTGAAGAGGAGTTCAAGTTCATGAACGTGAAACGAGCAATGCTGGTTTGCCGGGTGGTGGCGGGTCGGGTCGGGTGTGACTCGGACGAGGATGAATTGTCCATAACGAAAGAGGATGGCGGGTTTGACTCGGTCGTTGGGAGGGGTGCCAGTGGGGTCCAGACCAGATTGGATGAAGAAGAGCTGTTAGTTTTTAATCCAAGGGCTGTACTTCCTTGCTTTGTGATTGTATACACCGTATGAGTGAGTGAGTGAGTGACACGAGTGAGTCCAGTGAGTTAGTTAAAGTTAGCTAAATCAGTGTGTTAAAAAAAGCTTCTGATAATGTTAAAATGTATGTAATCTTAATTAATTTTTTGTTAAAATTTTAGTGATGTGTGGTGGTGATGATGGAGCTTTAGTTGCAGACTTTTTATTAGCATAATGTCTGTGATGATCACACAGCCTCATCACTGACCGTTTGATCTGATTTTATGATCAAACAAGGGTTTTTTGAGTGGGTCCAATAAAAACCATCCATAATGGTAGCAGAGGCCTGCAATGTCAGGATAATTAAACACACATGATGGGGATCATGTGGCCATTTGCTTTAATGATTTTACTCAATAATTAATGTTTTAATATTTATTTATTTATTTATAATGTAATTTCAATGGGTTTGTTGACACTGACAAAAATGAGTTATATAAATTAATTTGTTGTTTGATCTTTAATGTCAAAGTGCAAACAATCAAATTTCAATTGGACTCTTGAATCGATGGTCAAATTTTGTAATATATTTTTGAGTAAACGACGTACCCAAGGTTTAACGAAATCCCAAGTTAGTTAGTACTCCAAGTTCCATTTTTTCCAAATTCTCACCCTTAAAGTAACAGAAAATGGTTAGATATAACGGCTCAGGGGTAAATTAGTCATTTCACAAAGAAGCGCACATTAACAGATCCAAGCCCCTGATAAAGTTCTAGCGCACGTTAGCCAACCTCACCGTCAACGTTTTTTGCCCTTTTCCAACGATTCTTCCACCCAAAATCACCCTTGTCACCGCCATTCGAACCCTCATCCTCCCCTCTACAAAACCGTACCCTTGACAGCCCCTTATCACTCGTCGAAATCGACCAGAATCCAACGAAGAATGAAAAAAACCTAACCCTGACGACGCCGTCGATTGGAGAGGTCAATAAGTAGGGAATCAGAGGGGTTTTGGACGACAGACGATGGGGAAGCTGATGGAGGTGACCAGGGGTTTCGCCGCCATCAGAAATAGCCAAGATCCGATGAAAATCGAGACAGTGCGCAGTCATTGAGGGGGTAATTGAAGTAATTTCAAAACAAGATGGTTAATTTTATAATTTTAGTAATTTAGGGGCTAAAATATAATTTACTAATTTAGGGTTAAGGGCATTATGATAATTGCACCTTCACTACCCCAAAAAATGTTAACAGTATTATTTTAAGAGTGGAAATCTAGAATAAATAGAACTTGGGGTACCAAATTAGAATTTCATCAAACCTTGGGTGAGAATATGTCGTTTACTCTATACTTTTAGAGTGAACGAGATCTGTTAACTTTAACTAAAGAATGACAGGATGATAAATTCATTGAAAATCGAAAAATCAACGATTAAAAAATTTCTCTCTCAATCAGCGTAGCAAAGCTTCCCAAGATGGCTTAGTGCCGCTCATGTCGATCCGTGTGGAAGGGTTTAAGGGTTGCTTTTAAGCAATTTCACGTAATTAATAATAAAATTAATGTATTAATTGGTTTTTAATTAAGTTTTGGTTCTTGGGTCTTGGCTATAAAGTAAAGTTATGTATTATTGTTTGTGCTCTCTTTCCTTTCTCTTTAATATTTGCTAAAGAATTTCTTCTTTCTTATCTTTAAGGTGAATTGAGTGGTCACTACTAGTTGTTCTATTCTTTTTATTCGCTTGACTTTATTTAGTTTTACGTTGTAATTTTATTTATTTTATATTGGACCTACATTTTGGGACCCTTGTCTACTCAATTTCCAAATAGTGGGTAACACCATCAATTATCATATGGCCCAACCAAGGCCCATAATAGAAAAATAGAGTTTATTTAGTCTTTTGGTATTTGGTCAATTGGTCAAGGTTTATGGTAAACAACTATTTGTAGATGTTGACTTGAGTTGCACCTTCTTTTTTTTTTTTTTTTTTTTTTTCTAATAATTGAGGTATTCGGGCACAATTTCTAGCCGAGCCCGCCTAATTCTCAATGTCATGGAACACATCTTATAAGCCCAATGGACCAAGGTATGTAATTCGAACACAAAACCCTTGAGTATAGCTAACTCTAGTGTCTAAAAGGCTTGCCATCTGCTGCAAGAGGAGAGGTTGATGTTCATTTTTTTTTTTTTTTAAAGTAAATAATATTGTTCATATATGTTATGCCTAAAAAATTAGAGTTGATATTAGCCTACGTTAGCAAACACCAATCAGAGTTCAAAAAGGCTTTGCGTTGTCTTGGAGCTACCACGTTGCTCCATGACAAAAAAAACTATGGTTGTCACCAACCTAGCACGTTCAGGTTTTGTCTATGAGTGACTGATGACTGCACACATGTCCAAACCCTAGATAATTTGAGGATATTTCCTAAGTTATCAGCCAATGGGAGGCAATGAAGAACTTGTACGACATCTATCCACCTGTAGATTTGTGATCATTACCTTGAATTTCTCTACTATAAATAGAGGACTCCCCCTCTCATTTTCCGGATTTTGATACTGAACTCTCATTCTAATTGTAACATTTATTTTTAGAGCAAAAATAACCCACGGGAAAGAGACTGACTTAATATTCTCTCTGAATACTCAATTATTGTACCTCTGTTCACTGTTCGCTATACACAACATCTTGTAATCTCTCATATATAAAAGAAACAGTAGACGTGGGATTCACTTCAAGCATCCAAACCACTTTAAAAATCATAACTCTTATTTATTATTCAGTCTTTGTATCCGATTATAATAGTTCACATGTATTTTCTAAGAACAACTTAATACTTTACACGTGTGAATCGTTAGTATCAAAATCACGCATCAACAATACAGAAGTAAACCAAAGTCTTCATACAATTGAATTTGAGTCAAGGCCGTGAGCCCAAAGGTAGCTTGAATGGGTAAAAGGCCCTTGTATTTGCATTCATATTTTCTATTTTTTATTTCCTCTTTTCTTTTTTTAAACAAAGCTTACAAATTTAAATTAAATCCTTCTTGGACAAGATTCTAATATGAGGAGATCGTGCAACAAAAAATATACATTCGAGATTAATAAAATAGGATTAAAATCACACCATATAAAGAGACTTATAATAGAGAAATAATTATTATTTAGTTAAAAAATCCAAAAAAAAAGACGTATAAATAAATAAATAAACCTAAAGAAAAAACAAAAGAAGAAGTGGTAATTAAATCTTTGGGCTTACTTCGTAATGGGCTGCTTCATGGCCCATTATAACAGCCGGAGCAGCGCCTAGATTTCGGTATTATGTCAAATTTTGCGCGCAAAGAGCTCAATATTCAAACTTTCATTACCTGGTTCAAGTGCGTCAACTTTGCTGCTGAATCCAGTTTCTATTTTTTCAAGGAATAACTCATAAATGTACATGGATCAGTGTTTGACTTTGAAGTAATCTCGAAAACTGTACAATATATGTATTACTTAATCTAAGTATTTAATTCTATGGACGGTTCTCTCTCCTGGAATCTCGTCGTTCTCCACTTATTCTTCTCTTTCTCTTCATATTCCATCCTTTTTTTTTTTTTTTTTTTTTTAATCAAAATAAAATCTTTAGATCCACCCTTTTGCTTACTTTGCGTGCTCTTCAAAAAGATATACCATACGCCTGCTGTCCTTGTATCCAAATTATTTTTGTCTACTTTCTGGAGTACCTTTGATCGTTTCTTTATTGCGCTTCTGGACACTTTAAAAGATTGTTGAAGGGAAAGGGTATATATCAAGCTGTAAACTGTACTTGTTATTGTCTTCTTTGTCAACTCTATGGCTTGTTAACTTAACTTCATGAAGTTTTGTTCATTCTTAGTATTGTCAATTGTTTCAATTAGCTGTTTTTTTTTTATTTATTTATTCTCAGGTTGGCGATCAATATGTCATCCGAGTTCAAGTTGGATGTGATTATGTCTCGTGATCCAGAAGAACCTGAATCAAGTTCTTCTAACGGAAAAATGATATTAAGTGAAAGTAAAAATGGGTTACACAGGATGATTAATGGCATTCAAAAGCAAGGATACAGAGGATTAAGTGACAGGTAGAATCTCTTTTAGTCTTTATGCAATTATTTCTTGATAATATGCTTCAATTAAAACATCTGCAATATCTATGATACGATACATGGTTGAAGCTTGCAATTCCATAATCGATTAAGCAGGTTCTTTAGAGGGAATCGAGCAGCATATGGTGGTGCTGTAAATATTGCAGTAGACATGGACGAAAGGAGAGAACATGGATTAGGAACAAAATCCGGACCTCTTCTGTCTGGAGCTGCTTACTGTGTTTCTTCCTGCAGCATGATTCTTTTAAATAAAGTTGTTCTGTCAAGTTATAATTTCAATGCTGGAATATCACTGATGTTTTATCAAGTATGTTACTTGTCTCAATCCGAATGTCGCATGTTGAGTGATCAATTTTCTTCCCCGCAAGGTTACAAATTTATCCAGCAATGAATTTTTTTTTTTGGTTTTGAACTGCAGAATCTAATTAGCACTCTAGTAGTTGTCATATTTGGGCTCTCCGGAGCAATTTCAGTGGAAAAGCTAAACTGGAAGTTGATTAAGCTTTGGATTCCTGTCAATATAATCTTTGTTGGCATGCTTGTTTCAGGCATGTATAGGTATGTCATAAACTGCAAAATTTTTGAGGGCATAAATAATGTTTGTGCTCAGCTTAATATTTTCTGGTGAACTGCATATTTCTTTTCAGTTTGAAATACATAAATATTGCGATGGTGACAATCCTGAAGAATGTGACAAATATTTTAACAGCAGTTGGAGAGTTGTATATATTCCGGAAACAACAGAATCAGAAAGTCTGGACTGCAATGTTTCTAATGGTAAATGATGCAACCTGCCAATGTTTTTTTTTTTTTTTTCATTTCTAATCTATTTTTAATGAATCTCTTCATGCTTTGCAGATTATCTCTGCTATCACTGGAGGCATCACAGATCTCTCATTTGATGGAACTGGATATGCTTGGCAGATTATAAATTGTGTTCTAACAGCAAGCTACTCGGTAAAATTTTTACTTTCTTTGCGAATTCCCCAAGTTTGGTTTACTGATCTCTTATTTCTAAAATTTCCCTTTCAAAGTAAAGTATCATTTAACATTTGCATA